CACGATAAAACAATAATTTGTCATGATGGTGATAAAATTGCTTTAGAAGCTTCAGTGGAGAAGGTTAACCCCTTCTACCAGGGGATAATGATGCGGGCCTCTTTTACAACCCGAGACTCGAGTGCGGTTGAGGGAAGGGTTGTGCGAATTGTCCCGCTTGGGATTCCATAATCCCGCTACCCCGAGACATAGGGAAGGCATCATTTTTTTCTTTGCAATTGAGGTAGCGGGATTCTCTCGCTAATATGCCATTGCCAGGCCATTGTGGCCTACTTTTTATGTTATTTTAATTAGAATTAGGTTTATTTTAAGAGGGGACTATTTAGATATTACTATTTATTATTTTTTGGAAATTATTGTGATTAGAGATTTTGTTCTTTGTATTATGTTCTCTGGAGTATTGTATTCTCTTCTTTTTACAAGTTGTGTGTTTGTATCTTGCTCAGGTGGTGGATCGTCCTCGCCACCCATACCTCTCCATTTTTTCGTTCGATGTTGTTTCAGTTCCAACAACCGTTGAAATCTCTGCTAAATGCTGTCCAACAACTAGTTTCAGCCGCCGAGCACATTATACCCTTCCAAAAATCTTTGACCGACCATATTTTTATTCCGCTTCCTAAACATTTTATAGGAGTCTTAGAACAACGTCAATAAATTTTTAAAATTAAGTAAAATTTTTGTTCTTTTTAAACAAACACTTGCAAATAATTTCATTTTGGTGCTATGACCTGTCCACTAACTTTCGAAGTGTTATTTTGCTTTCATGAAAACATTTTTTCTTGTATTTCTTGTTGCTATTTACTTCTTTCATCACCCTCTATGGCTTCTTTCTAAAATTTTTGCTTTTCTTCATTCATGAAATCTATAACAAATGTTTGTGTTATGAGATCAACACGTCCATCCCTTTATGGTTCTTTGACAACACGTTGCGGTCTATCCTTTATCAAGCTATAAGTTTTACTTTGCCTATTTTCAATTTTTTGTTGGACTAATTCTTTAGAATGTTTTTATGTTCTTGATTTTTTAGTATCATAACTTTCATAGCTTGGTTGCTCCACCTCGAGTTCCATTTTTTGCTTTAGCACAGTTTGCTTTTCTTGTGCTATTTTTAATGAAATAATTTAACTATTTGTTATTCATCAAGTATAGTAGCTCTACTGACCATGCATTTTATAAATCAAGCTCATAGTCAATCCTTAACTTTTTTCTTTTCTACAAATTTGGGCTTCAATAAGTTATAAGTTATTTCCATTTCTTCAATTTTGAATTGCTTCATTCTTGCATGTTTCAAAAAATATACCCATATACTTCTTTAACAATTATCAATTTGAGAAAGATAATAGCTTACATCACCATAGGAGTTTATTCAAGAAGACCCCCGTGGATCTTAATGAATGTACTTAAGAACTCTACTTTTCAAATCATCAATAACAACAACAAGCCTTTATCCTACTATGTGGGGTCGGCTACATGAATCTTTTTTCTACATTGCGTCATATTGAGGAACTCTACTTTTCAAATCTATGGCAAATTTAAATTGGAGTATCTTGATTATCTTTCCAATTTTTTTGATTAAAACAAATGAGCCTTTGGATACACTTAAGCTCTTTTTTTCAATTCCTAGTAAAATTAAAATAAATTTCTCTTCAGCACAAATAGATTCCTCATTTTTCATAATTACGCTCAACACCATAAAAATCCTGATTATTTTCTTGCAAACCACTTTGATCTTGCAAGTTTTGTTATTTCCAAGCATCACCTTGCTACCATCTAAATCTTGTAATGGTTCAAACCAAGATTTTTTTGGGTGCATGTGGAAGTGGATTCCATAATGGACAAGACTTAAACACTTTTATACCCCTCCTTAGAAATTGCAATTTGTTAAATCTTCTTGAAGTGACCTTTTTTATGTCAAATGAAGCATTTCATTTTAAGGTTTGATAGGGATCTCTAACATTTTCATTTAGAAGAATTAATACTTAATAATACCTCTTGGGAATAATAAAAGAGGCAATGAGGGATAAAAAGTACCCAAAATAATTGATAAAATCATATGAAAGTACAAACGACACATATACCTTCGAGGAGGCTTGCTCGGCAGTGCGCACCGGGAGCAAATGAAACACGGAGGAGAGCCCAAAATCTGAGGCTTATCCTCACCGTTTTACTCCGACGAAAAAAAACACAACACCAGCAAGACAAAAGCCGGCGATGTAAAGAAAATTAAGCGAAATTGGCGGGGTTGGCCGAGAAAAAGAATGATGAAGAAGAAAAAGAAGAAATGAAGAAAGAAAAAAA